ACTCCTAGAAAAATAAAAAGGAGAAACTGAAAAGTGTGTTAGATAATTTTTGCTAGTTTTTTTTAATTTTTTTTTTGAGATTTTTTGAGACAGAGTCTCACTATATTGCCCTCAATAGAGTGCTGTAACATCACAGCTCATAGCAACCTCAAACTCTTAGGTTTAAGTGATTCTCTTGCCTTAGCCCCCCAAGTAGCTGGGACTACAGGCACCCACCACAACGCCCAGCTGTTTTTTGTTCAGCAGGCCTGGGCCGGGTTCAAACTAGCCAGCCCCAGTGTATGTGGCTGACGCCCTAACCACTGAACTATGGGCACCAAGCCTCAATTCACTGATTTTATACTTGATTATAATGCTTTAAAATTTTTTAGAATACATGAAGACCTGAATTAAACCATTCTCAACATTTTTCCAGGACTGTTTGCTAAATGGCTTGTTTTTACATAAAGCTTTAAACCTGTCTACCACAGGTACTAAACAAAAATAACTTGAAACTCTGTGTATTTCTATTCTTTTTTATTTTTTTCACATAATGAAGTTTTGGTCCATTGAAACTATAAAACCTACCAAGTCCTAATGTGACATCACTGTTTTCTCCTTCTCTTGTGAGAGTCGCTACTGTGAACTCGTAGTCGCTGGTGCACAGAGGATGCACTTTTCATGCTGTCTTTCTTTGTGAAGGTCTTCTCTATAGCTCCAGGTTTCCAAAGCAACAACTGTGCATCTTCTCCCCCAGTCAGCAGAGAATCATCCTGCATATTCCAACAGAAAGAACGAACTGTGGCAGAGTGCCCTCCCTGAAGGCTGGCCACATGCATCAACCCTGAGGTGGTGCAGTTCATTAAGTGAACCTTTCCTTTGTTTGTTCCTCCAATAACAAACAATTGATCCATCTTTTCATGATATAGACCACCAATCAAATAGTCCAAAATGCCTTCTTTCACGTTAACTGTTCCTCTGACATCCTGGATGTTCAAACATACAATTGGCTCGTCAGTATCTAGATGATTCAGATCCCACCACCAAAATCCTTCGTCGTGGGTCATGCAGTAAATCTGTTTATAATCTTTACCAGACCAACCAATGCAGCTTACTGATGAAACTGAGTTACAGGTTGTAACCAGTGCATCCTCTTCATTATCAAGACTGATATCAAACACATTTACCAGGCCATCAGTTGAACCTGAGACCACCATGTTGGGGTTGCTGGGATGGAAACGTACTTGAGTGATGTCATCACTATGTGTCTCTGAGTATGTACCGAGTGGGTCTTGGGTAGTAGACAGATCCTGAGAATTCATTCTTGCATCCCAAAATACCAACAATGCATCATCATCAACTTTTTCAGTACCGGCACAAATGACATGGTCATTACAGTTGATATCAAAGCTGATAAAAACATTGGAAGGGTAACCCTTGAACAGCTGTACAGGTTTTTCACCGGCTAACCGAACATCCCAACACTTCACAGTGCCGTCCGTACACGCTGAATACACAGTGTCACGGGAATTTGCATATCTGACTCCACTGAGATGTCCAGGACACCCACTAAATTCTTGTAGTATGTTTAACCTTTCTTTATCATATATTCGGATTGATCCATTAGAACACAGAACAGCCACCAAGCTTTCTCTTTCTGTTTGTACAGTCTTCGATGTGTCTATGCCGAGAAGGTACGTGGGCTCTTCAGTTCCTGAGGAACATCTGTATAGGTGCATATTAGCAAATTGTTCCTCAATCTTCTCCATTTCAGCAGGAGCATCCAAGGGTAGTTAAACTCTGCAATAAAAAATTTAAAAAATTAAAATTAAACTTCGAGCTTCTCTAAAATTGCAATTAAATCAAGAACAATTTACTCTGGGGGCTGGCACAAAAAAAAAAAAAAGAAATGACTTTTTTTTTTAGAGACAGTCTTAGTATATCGCCCTTGGTAGAGTGCCGTGGTGTCACAGCTCACAGCAACCTCCAACTCCTGGGCTTAGGTGATTCTTTTGCCTCAGCTCCCAGGCAGCTGTGACCACAGGTGC